CCCTTCTTCCATGTTCTCCCACTTTGACAGCTATTAATTGAAGGGGCTTACAACGTGCCACTTATTCCTCCAGTGCAATGTAGTACAAGGTGAAAACCAATTTATACAGAGCAAGATCCCTCAGATATAACCATCGGACAATCTGCGATTGCAATTGGATTAATGGAATCATAGGATCCCTATGGTGCCAAAGCAGGCCATTCAGCCCATCAGGTCCATGCCAACCTTCCAAACGGTATCCCATTCAGACCCACCCCCTTACCCTATTCCTGCATTTCCCATGGCTAACCCACCTAGCCTGCACATCCCTGACACCATGGACAATTTAGCATTGCCAATCCACATAACCTGCACATATTTCAACTGTGGGAGGAAACTGGAGCACCCAGAGGGAACCCACGCAGACACGGGGAGAATGTGCAAATTCCACAGAAACAGTTGCCTGAGGCTGGAATCGAACCCAGGTCCCTGGTGCTGTGAGGCAGCAGTGCTAACCACTGAGCTACAATGCTTCCCTAAAATAAATTTTGACCAATAATATGCAATGTATGAACTGTAAGCTGTCAAAAATCTGCAGTCTAAAGATAGCTAAACCTCATTAAATATTTGATTTAAATAAACAAGTATTAAAGTCATCCTGGGGTTACCATTGACCAGAATCTAAACTGGACCAACACCATAAACACAGTGACTACAAGAGCAAATCAGAGCTTGGAAATCCTACAGGCAGTAACTCGCTCTCTGACTTCCCAAAGCCTCTCCACCATCTACAAGGCACAAGTCAGGAAGATGGAATACTCCCCACTTGCCTGGATGAGTGCAGCCCCAACAACACTCAAGAAGCTTGACACCATCCAGGACAAAGCAGCCCACTTGATTGGCACCACATCCACAAGCATCCACTCCCTCCACCACCGATGCTCAGTAGCAGCAGTGTGTACTATCTACAAGATGCACTGCAGAAATTCACCAAAGATCTCAGCCAGCACCTTCCAAACCCAGGACCACTTCCATCTAGAAGGACATGGGCAGCAGATACATGGGAACACCACCCCCTGCAAGTTCCTCTCCAAGCCACTCACCATCCTGACTTGGAAATATATCGCGTTCCTTCAGTGTTGCTGGGTCAAAATCCTGGAACTCCCTCCTTGACAGCACTGTCTCTCCACCCGAAGGTCTGCAACCATTCAAGAAGGCAGCTCACCACACTTTCTCGAGGGTAATAATGGATGGCAATAAATGCTGGCTCTGTCTCTGAAACCCACATCATCAAAACTTAAAACAGATCCCAGGATGAAGAGTAAAAACTGAAAGAAGTGTGGATGCTATAAACCAGGAACAAAAACAGAACTTCTGAGGAAGGGTCACCGGACCCAAAACGTTAACTCTGATTTGTTCTTCGCAGATGCTGCCAGACCTGCTGAGCTTTTCCAGCAACTTCTGTTTTTGTTCCAGGTTGAAGAGTCTTTTTTTTAAATAGCATTAACAGTCCATCAGTGAATGAAATATATTGCTGCTTTGACATTATGCCAAAACCTGCCTCATAAAACGCTCTTCATCCTTCCTTTTCTCAGCTTATTCTTCGTTTACCTTTTACTCGCTGTTTTTAATATTCCTCGTTATTTTTTAAACTGAATGAGTCAGAGTCACATCTCATTTAACTGCGGTCCCCTAATGAAAATGAGTGATAGCTTATCTCCCTGTCAACATTCAGTTCCCTGATGAAAATGCATGGGGAGGGGACGGGGCTAAGGCAGTACAGGATGGGTCATTCTCACACAAAGCACCTGTCATTTGGGCACCTTGTCATCTCCTCTACTCCTGACTCAGGGCTTTGACAGATCAAGCCCATTTCTCTCCTCCAGCTTGCCGAATAGTGCAGGAGAAAGATATGTACATGGTTTTTGGAAAGAGGGACTTGCATTTGGATGAGATAGTAAGAACTGTCGATGCTGGAGTCAGAGATAACACAGTGTGGAGCTGGAGGAACACAGCAGGCCAGGCAGCATCAGAGGAGCAGGAAAACTGATGTTTCAGATCAGGACCCTTCTTCAGAAATAGGGATGGGGAAGGGAGCTGGGAAATAAATAGAGAGAGGAGGGGTGGGGCTGGGGAAGGAAGGTGAGATGGTGATAGGTGAGTGCAGGAAGGCAGTGGTGGGGATTGGTCAGTGAGGTGGGAGGAGTGGACAGGTGGGAGAGAAGATGGACAGGTTGTGTCAGGTCAAGGAGGCGAGGATGAGAGGGAGGGTTAGATGTTGGATGAGGCCGGGGGAGGGGAGATTTTAAAACTAATGAATTCCATGTTTGGGCCATCGGGCTGTAGGCTCCCAAGGCGGAATATGAGACGCTGCTCCTCCAATTTGCGGGTGGTGTCGTTATGACACTGGAGGAGGCCCAGAATGGACATTTCACCCAGGGAGTGGGAAGGGGGTTTAAAATGGTTGGTGTCTGGAAGCTGTTGTCGTTTGTCACGTACAGAGCGCAGATGCTCCTCGAAACGGTCTCTGAGTGTTTGCTTGGTCTCACCGATGTAGAGGAAGCCACATTGGGAGCGGATACAGTAGAACAAGTTGGCGGATGTGCAGGTGAACCCCTGTCAGATATGAAAGGTTGGCTTTGGGCCTTGAATGGAGGGGAGAGGGGAGGTGTAGGGGCAGGTGTAGCATTTCCTGCATTTGCAGGGGAAGGAGCCGGGGGTGGTGGGGCTACTGGGGCTGTGTCAGCCTCAAGTCGTTCCAAAGTGTTTTACAGCCAATGCGCAGAGTTCCTTCGGCACCAGGACTGCAGAGGCTCAAGCTCACCACTGCTCTCCAGGGCCAGTTAGGGCTGGGCAATAATTACTGGTTCTGCCACGTCTCATGAGAGAATGAAGGTCGTAAAGGAATTAAGTGTTGTCACCGTTTTGGAATCATTGCACCGCTCAGGAACTGCTTCACCACACAGACTCTATCCTGCACGCAGCCTCCAATTAACTTGTTGCAACACTCCAGCTCATCCTTCCAACAGTTTCCGGTCGCCAACCATGTTAACCCCCCCTCCCACTCCCTGGGTGAAATGTCCATCCTGGGCCTCCTCCAGTGTCACAATGACACCACCCAGAAACTGGAGGAGCAGCACTTCATATTCCGCCTTGGGAGCCTACAGCCTGATAGTCTAAACGTGGAATTCACTAGCTTCAAAATCTCCCCACCCCCGTCAGAAATCCTCCCGAACCAGCCCCATGTTAACTGTGCCCTAGGTCATCCACATTCCAACTTGGGTGTCTGTCTCACTGCAGTACAAGGTTGGGTGCTAGTCCTGTTGGAGCTGACCTTCTCTAAACAGCAGGCATTGGTGTATGTTACAACTGTATTTTGAGACCATAAGATATAGGATCAGGAGTAGACCATTCAGCCCATCAAGTCTGTTCCACCATTCAGTGAGATCGTGGCTGATTTGATAATCGTCAACCCAGCTTTCGTGCCATATCTCCATAACCCTTGATTCCCTTCCTGATTAAAAAAATCTATCTCAGCCTTGATAACATCATAAAACATGCCATTCAGCCCATCAGCTGTCAGAAGTGAAGTGAGTGTAGCAGAGACCAGTATGTGGAATGGTCTGTACAAGCTGCACTAGCATTGGCACTAGTTACTACACCCATAATTACCCTCAGTTAGACATTCAGCACAGGCTTAGTCCCTTTAAATATATTAATAAGAGGCTTAGTTGCCAACTGGGGTACAGTTATATGCTGTCCCTGCTCCAGAACCATGACCCTAGCATTTATTTTTCATATGTATGCATCTGAGGAGCCATTGTCAGCTGTTCCACAAAGGGGGCATCACAGATGAGCTTAACATCATCTACACCAATGTCCACACTTAACAGAACATATATAATGAAGGTGTGAGCTACAGGGAGGCTGAGCCTATTTTCTTTGGAGCATCAGAGGCTAAAGGTGACCTTATAAAGGTTTATAAAATCATGAGGGCAATGGATAGGGTGAACAGCCAAGGTCTTTACCCCAGGGTGGGGGAGTTCAAAACTCTAGGGCATAGGTTTAAGGTGAGCGGGGAAAGATTTAAAAGGGACCCAAGCGGCAACTTTTTCACGCAGAGGGTGTTGTGTGTATGGAATGAGCTGCCAGAGGAAGTGGTGGAGGCTGGTACAATTACAACATTTAAAAGGCATCTGGATGGATATATGAATAGGAAGGGTTTAGAGGGATATGGGCCAAATGCTGGCTAGTGGGACTAGATTAATTTAGGATATCTGGTCAGCATGGACGAATTGGGCCGAAGGATCTGTTTCTGTGCTGTACGCGGAAGCTCTATGACTCTATGACTATAACTCATCAGGGAATGTAAGGGTGGGGAGGGCCAGGTCACACCCTGGTGTAGCTCAGCAACCTAACCAGTGCCAGCCCGATGTGAACACTCTCACCCCTCTGGCAGATAGCCAGGAATTTGTCACCCCCTCCAGAATCTAAAGCAGAACACATCTCGGTTCCCACTCCTGGGACAGTACTGAAGAGCAGCAGCAGTGTTGCCAATACCTTAGTTTGAGCCAGACACGGAACTGAGGCCCCATCTGTTCTCTCAGGTGAGAGTGAATGATTGTATGATATCACTGTGTCAGAGGAGAGCAGCAAAGCTTTCATTCCTGGTGCCCTGGCCAATATTTATTCTTAAATCAACGTCACAAGAACAAGGGTGGTCTTTAGCACATTGTCATTCATGGGAGCTTGCTGTGCTGTGTTACCCTCATTGATGACACTACTTAGGGATGGGCAATAATGCTTGTCTCTAGCCAGTGACATCCATGTCCCAGGACCAATTATTAAAATAACTTACATCTGTGACCACACTTCAAAAGTACCTCATTGGCTGAAAAGTCCTCCTGGACATGCTGAAGTCATGAAAGATGCTACATAAATGCAACTCATTCCCTTCTCAAAATGCAAGGAGTTCAATTCTTCAAATAACCCCGTTTGCAAAGAAAGGCAGAGACAAAGTGTTCTTGAGAACATTTTCAAACTGTATTAATAAATACAGACAGATCAATTCTTGACGATATAGGAAAGAATCTTGTTTGTATAAAAGAATTCAAACACAGTGGCAGAGTAGAACTCAGAAGGTTAATACTTTGAGATTATTAGAGCACCCCCACGGTGAGGCTCTAGATACAGAAAGCCACGCAGAAGCGACCTTCGTCTTGACAATGAATCTTCTCTGTTTCATCGATGGAGTAGCCACAAAGGGCCGAGGGCTCAGTAACAGTAATCGGAATAATCTTCCTCCACGTAGTTTGCTGGGAAAAATCCGACCTAGAAACAGAGAGTGGGCAACATTATACACGGGTTGCATTAACACAACAGTTTACATGAACATAGATCTTAGGAGCTGAGGTAGGCCATCTGGCCCTTTGAGTCTGATCCACCTATCAATAAGACGGTGGTTGATCTGGATGTGGTCTGTTCTCCACTTTCCAGCCTCTCCTGTACAACAAACATCTGAGCAACTCAGCCTTGAGTTAACTTAAAGGTGCAGCCTCCTCTACCATCTGCTTATGTAATAGCAATAGGGACTGCAGTGGTTCAAGAAGACATCCTGCCTGATATAGGTTATTGTGTTTCTCAGCTTTGTCTCTGTGGGTAGTGCTGTTGGCTCTATGAAGTAAGGCTGTGAGTTCAAGATTCAGCCCTGAGCCTAGAACACACCATCAAGATTGATGCTCCATTGAAGTACTGTGCGAGTGCCACATTGTTGGCAGTGAGATCCAAGATGGCAGCGGAGTAAGACTCCTCAGCTGCTCCATCCATTTCTTTTCTTTTTCTCTTTTTTCTCTTTTGTGCTGTTTCCTCCCTATTTGTTCTTGGCAATGCCCTGAACTCCCGTCCTCAGTGCGGACCCAGTGTGGTGGTCTCTCAGCTCAGTGTGGCAGTCTCTCAGCTCAGTGTGGTGGTCTCTCAGCTCAGTGTGGCGGTCTCTCAGCTCAGTGTGGCAGTCTCTCAGCTCAGTGTGGTGGTCTCTCAGCTCAGTGTGGTGGTCTCTCAGCTCAGTGTGGTGGTCTCTCAGCCCAGTGTGGTGGTCTCTCAGCTCAGTGTGGTGGTCTCTCAGCTCAGTGTAGTGGTCTCTCAGCCCAGTGTGGTGGTCTCTCAGCTCAGTGTGGTGGTCTCTCAGCTCAGTGTGGTGGTCTCTCAGCTCGGCATGGTGGTCTCTCAGCTCAGTGTGGCGGTCTCTTGGCTCAGTCTGGTGGCCTCTCAGCTCAGCGTGGTGGTCTCTCAGCTCAGCGTGGCAGTCTCTCAACTCAGTGTGGTGGTCTCTCAGCTCAGTGTGGCGGTCTCTCAGCTCGGTGTGGCGGTCTCTCAGCTCGGCATGGTGGTCTCTCAGCTCAGTGTGGCAGTCTCTCAGCTCGGCATGGTGGCCTCTCAGCTCAGTGTGGTGGTCTCTCAGCTCAGCGTGGTGGTGTCTCGGCTCAATGTGGTGGTCTCTCAGCTCAGTGTGGTGGTCTCTCAGCTTAGCGTGGCGGTCTCTCGGCTCAACGTGATGGTCTCTCAGCTCAGCGTGGTGGTCTCTCAGCTCAGCGTGGCGGTCTCTCAGCTCGGCATGGTGGTCTCTCAGCTCAGCATGGTGGTCGCTCAGCTCAGTGTGGCGGTCTCTCATTTCAGCGTGGCAGTCTCTCATTTCAGCGTGGTGGTCTCTCAGCTTAGTGTAGTGGTTTCTCGGCTCAGCTTGGCCCTCCAGCCTTAAGGTGATTCCAGAGCGGTCTCCCGCCCTCAAGTTGAAGCCCAGCACAGTCTTGAGTCAAGGCCTTGCACAGACCAGAGGCTAGACGATGGCATGGGCTGGGTGGGAAGGATTGTTATTCTGAACTTTTTATTTCTTTACTTTTCTAATTTTCTTTCACTAAGAATTTGTCCTTAAGAATCAGTATGTAGGTACCTTGGTACCCAAGGTGCTGTTATAAGTGGTGACTGTGTAAACTTTACACTGTCCTCGTTTGAGCACATGTCACAATAAAGCTAATTCTAATTCTAAAATCGCCAACTGCCCTTGCAGGTCAGCATGAGAGATCGTTGCAAAGTGGAATAGGGATGTTCTTGTGCTGTGAAAGACAATAGATGAAGTTGGCATAGCCCCACTCTCTCATTAGCAAGAGACAATTGATGGCGAGTTTAACCTGAGGGTTACCGTAGGGGTGAGGTTAAGAGGGTAAAACTTTTGCAGGAATTGAACCCGCACTGTTGGCATCCCTCTCCATCACAAAGCAGCCATCCAGCCAAATGTTTCCAACCAGCTTCACGAAAACAGATTATCTGGGTCATTCACAAAATGCTGTAGATCTGAAATAAGAGCTGGAAAAGCTCAGCAGATGAGGAGGCATTAACTTGAGTTTGGATGAAAGGTTATCGACAGGAAACATTCACTCTGTATCTCTCTACAGTCCTGTATGGCCAGCCGAGATATTTTCTGTTCATTTTTTTAATCTCGTTCTTCTTGTCGGGAGCTTGCTGTACACACAACAGCAACTACACTTCAAAGCTGTACTAAAGGGCTCTGGAACAAACTGTGAACGCTGCTTCAGAGGTCCAACACTCCTTCCCTGGTTGGACAGCAGCTAGAGAGAGGTGATGGCATAGTGGTAATGTCAGTAGAGAAAGGCAAGGTTAATTGTCAGGTTTAAATCCCACCACAGGTGATAGTGGTCTCCAGAAGGTGCAGATATGAGAAACAATCTATCTTTTTCACTGAGCGAGTAGTTTGGCTGTGGAATGCACTGCCTGGAAACATCGTGGGGGCAGGTTCAATTGAGGCATTCAAGAGGGTATTGGACAATTATTTGGCTGGAAATAATGTCGGGAAAAGGCAGGAGATTGGCACTAGGTCATGTCACTTATTGGTGCAGAGGCCTCTGTGCTGTAACACTTGAACTCACTACATAAAATACAAAGCTTGTCTAATGATGACTGCATAACCATTGTTGATTGTTGTAAAAACCCATCTGGTTCACTAACGCCCCTTAGGGAAGGAAATCTGCTGTCCTTACCACCAGTCTGGCCTACACATGACTCCAGACCCACAGCCATGTGAGTGACTCTTAACTGCCGTTGAGAATTGGGAATAAACAATTGTTAGTTTAGCCTCAACCCATCAGCAAATTCTAAAGGAAAGGGTGGTTTTAAGCTGTATGTACAACCATCGCCAGTGAGACTCCGTACCCATGCAGAGTGGCAAGTGGAGAAAACGCTGAGAATAAAGATCGAAAGCAAGAGGTTACCACACACCCTGCCATATACTTCTCCTTTCCACCATCCAGGAGATCCTTTCTTATTGATGATTTTAATCACGTCGCCTTCTTTCAGGCTCAGTTCCGATCGATCTCGGGCTGAGAAATCATATCGAGCCTTTGCTGTCCCAAAGCACTTCAAACTCGTCCCTGTAAACATCAAAATCAGAAGAGATCCTAAATGGCAAAACAGTAAGTCCCCAATTAAAGTTTGAATTAGAATTAGATTTAGATTTATTGTCACGTGCACTCAAGTATAGGAGTACAATGAAAAGTGTACAGTGTTACCAGATACGGTGACATCTAAGATACAAAGTTTCTAGGTACAAATCTTAGCTTAATGAAATAGATTAGATACAAAAATAGAGAAATAAAGAGAAAAGCTAAAAGTTCTACATTACAGTTCTTCACAGTATAAATTAAGAAGACAAAGACATAAAGTTAAAAGACAACTCCTTTGAGTATCTGAGACAACAAGGTATAGAGCTGGATGAACACAGCAGGCCAGGCAGCATCAGAGGAGCAGGAAAGCTGACGTTTCAGGTCGAGACCCTTCCTCATTCCTTTGAGTATCGTTTTGTATTAAGAAAATAGTTATATTAATATATTTCTTTAATGTTGTGAGTGTTAATTTTTACGCATGCTTCTGCTCCTACATGCCAACCTCCCTCTGGTTCCTATCCCTGTGCTCGGGCCCTCTTCCCACCAGCTCCAATTCCTGATCCCATCCTCTGTTCCTACCTATCTCCTCTCCTGGCTCCTGCTCTAAACTTGCATTGCTGCGCAGGGCGCTATCTAGTGGCATACATTGGTCGGTGCAGGTTCTCTTGCCTGCTGCAATCAACTAATGCCATTTCCGAAGAAGGCTCCTGACCCGAAATGTCAACTTTCCTGTTCCTCTGATGCTACCTGGCCTGCTTTGTTCATCAAGCTCTACACTTTGTTATGTCTGACTCCAGCATCTGCAGTTCTTACTATCTCTGTCATTAGATGGAGCCTTTCAATTAAAACTTCAGAGAATTATTTACATTATTGGCATTTATATTGTATTTCTCGCCGAATTTTAATTTTCATTTTATTGTAGAGGATTTTGTTTTCCTTATAAATGCGGGCACTTGAAATGTACACCATTTCAACTCAGAAATGTTTTAAAGTATTTTTCAGCTGGCAAAGGTACCTATCCTAACATAGTTTCTTATATTGAGTGATTTATTTAAGTTAATTAACCTGGAGTACACAGTACTGCACAAATACACGTGGTATTTGAACCTGCACATTGTGTACCCAGAGCAAAAAGTATCTGAAGGAACCTAACTTCAGTTTTAACATTAACTTCTATGGGAAGCTGTGATTCACTTAAAGTTCTTTTCACTTTAAAGTCATAGCTTTCAAGAACATAACTACTGGGAATTGGACCTATATGATTTTCCTTTCTCTCAGCAAGATCCCACATCTAAGACCTGCGTTGGCACGGTGGCTCAGTGGTTAGCACTGCTGCCTCACAGCGTCAGTGGCTTGGGTTTGATTCTACCCTCAGGCGACTGTCTGTGTGGAGTTTGCACGTTCTCCCTGTGTTTGTGTGGGTTTCCACAGTCCAAAGATGTGCAGGTTAGGTGGATAGGCCATGGGAAATGCAGGGTTATAGGGATAGGGTAGGGGTGGGGGGTGGTGGGTCTCGGTGGGATGCTCTTTGGAGGAGTGTTGTGGGCTCAATGGGCTGAATGGCCTGTTTCTACCCTGCAGAGATTCTACGATTCAAAATTTGTGCTAACTTCTCACTGCAGTTGCCAACTCCATCACCAACTCCCGGTATTGGACACCCAATGTGTTCATCACCACAGCCAATCAGAAAGCAAATCAACTCTTCATTACCTAATTGGATGATTCTGAACGATCAGGTCCCTGACAACCAACCCTTTTACAACCGACAAAATGACGAGTCTGCAGAAAAGCTTTCAATAACGCGCTTTCTTTTGATGTCCCAATTATATTTCTCCAAAGTTTGCTCATGTCAACATTCCGGAGATAAAAATGTGCAAACTAGAAGTTTCAGCAGGCCATTTTGTCCCCTGAAAGACTGCTTCACCATTCAATAAAATTGTAGATTTTATTACTGCACAAATCTGCCTGCCCTAGTTAACACTTACTTGTTGAGGATCTCTCCTAAAAATATTCAAGGACTCTGCCTCTACCATGCTTTCAGGAAGAGAGTTCCCAAAGACTCACCAACCTCTGAGAGAGCAAATTTCTCATCTCTGTTGTAAATAATGTTTGTTTTTAAACAGTGACCACCCTCCTCCCCTCCCGGTTATAGATTGTCCCAGGAAAGGAAACATCCTTTCCACATCCACCTCAGGATCTTAGATGTTTCAATCAAGCCATCTCTCCCTCTTCTAAATTCCAGTGGATATTAGCCAATCCTATACAAGCTTTTCACAAAGATACCTTCCCATCTCAGGTACTAATGTAATAAACCTTTTTTAATCTGCTTTCACTATATGTATATCCTTCCTTAAATAAAGAGATCAATATGGCGCACAGTGGTCCCGATGTGGTCTCCTCAATGCCACGAATTCCAGACATGCTCTCCTCAATACCCCAAGTAAGATTTTGTTTTTAATTTCTGGAGACTCTGGGATGACCAGGAGGGCTGGCGACACTGTTTTTTTCCCATTTCGTCTTTAAAAGCTATGACTCCTGCCATAACGGGCCTTTGGTATCTCAGCAACTCATCCATTATCTGACCGTGACTGCCAGGTAAGAATACCAATTAATGAAGAAAACCCATATTAATAATGTGTAAGAGTGCTGACTGATTGGCGAGGGGAATCTGATTGGTAGTAATGTTGCCATGAAGAATGCATCAGTTTGTGATGATCAACAGTCAACTGCCAGGATTTGCTTACATTTTAATCCAGGCAGGCAGGCTGACTGTGATTGGTCAATGCATTGCCCAGCATTAGTGAGCCAGCAATTGGCTTCACCAATTTTTTTTTGCGTAGACATGGTTAAATTGGCATTCTTGCACATTGCCCTGATAATTGCAAGATGAAAAGTTTGGAATACCCAAAAAGCAGTGTTGTAGTATAAGGGGCTAATCAAACCATTACTCCAATAATAACTACAGTGTATGTACATAAGGAGATATGTCATGGTAACATCAGATCACATGGAATTAGACCCAGCGTAGGGTTCAGGAGATTTTCACTTTAACCCTCTCTCCTGTATAGAGTTGACAAGTGATAAGAGTTATTGGTGTTCACTGACATGGGTGTGGACTACCTTCTAGAAATGACCCAGAACTGGCTTTACTATCATAGAATCCATAGAGTTTGGAAGCAGGCCATTCAGCCCGTCTTGTCTACACTGACCCTCTAAAGAGCATCCCACCCAAACCCATCCCCCTAACCACACATTTCCCATGACTAATCCACCCAGCCTGCACATCCCTGGACACTATGGGTAATTTAGCACGGCCAGTCCACCCTAACCTGCACACCTTTGGACTGTGGGAGGAAACCGGAGCACCCAGAGGAAACCCACGCAGACACAGGGAGAATGTGCGGACTCCACACAGTTGCCTGAGAGTTGAATCAAAAATCAGGTCCCTGGTGCTGTCAGGCAGCAGGGCTAACTGCTGAACTATCTTACCACTCTCTATGATGGACAGTGTTTCCTGGGAGTTATGCCAACCTAGTTCTGTAAAACATCTCTGCATCGTCTCCAGTGCCTCCATATCCTTTCAATAATATGGAGATGGGAATGGTACAAAGCACTTGAATTTAGTTAAATCCAATTGAATTGAATGAAATTAATTTAAACAGGCAGCAAAACAAGTTAACCTCACTTTTGAAGAGTGCTGACCACTGAGCCACCAAGGTTTTACTACATAAAAACCAAAAGAACTGCAGATGCTGTAGATCAGGAACAAAAACAGAAGTTGCTGGAAAAGCTCAGCAGGTCTGGCAGCATCAGTGAAGAAAAAAGTCAGAATTAGCGTTTCGGATCTGGTGACCCTTCCTCAGAACTGTCCCTTCCTCAGAACAGCCAGCAACCCACTGTTACTTTCCTCAGTCAGCCCCATACTATACAACTTCTGGGTCCCTTATCCAAGGAAAGAACATCAGTTCTGAGGAAGGGTCACCGGACCCGAAACGTTAACTCTGATTTTTTTTCTTCACAGGCGCTGCCAGAGCTGCTGAGCTTTTCCAGCAACTTCTGTTTTTGTTCAAGATTTTACGACAATTGTCCTACCTAATAACGAACCCCCCCCAAAAGCGAGAATGATCTAAGTCACTATCACACAGTGTTTTGTGTACAAACTGGCTGGGGTGTTTTTCCTGCATTGCAACAACAACTGTGTTCAAAAATCCATCAGCATTGGCTGAAAGTGCTCTCGGATATCCATGGTTATGACAGGCAGTACAGAAACAGCAAGGCCATTATAATTCCCCATCCATTCATCCTTCTCTTTGTGCACTCACCTGAAAATTTAGGAATAGTCCTTTTTTCGGGTTCTTTAAAAGGATGTTGCAAAGCTGTATCCATTGTCTTAAAACATTCCTTTAGGGAATTCTGCTGGTAAAATTCCACCAATTCCTGTAGGAAAACAAGGATCTGTTTTCACTTTGTTTGTTAAAGGTGATTTTTCTTTTGGGTGGACTTACAAACTTACAATAACAAGAGCGGCACGGTGGCACAGTGGTTAGCACTGCTGCCTCACAGCACCAGGGACCTGGGTTCAATTCCACCCTTAGGCATCTGTCTGTGTGGAGTTTGCACATTCTCCCCATGTCTGTGTGGGTTTCCTCTGGGTGCTCCAGTTTCCTCCCACAGTCCAAAGATGTGCAGGTTAGGGTGGGTTGGCCATGGGAAATTGCCTCATAGTGTTCAGGGATGTGTAGATTATAGGGGGATGGTCTGGGTGGGATGCTCCAAAGGTCAGTTTGGGCTGAAGGGCCTGTTTCCACACTGTAGGGATTCTATGTGTTAGAGTTATTCAAAAATCCAAATTAATGAACCCATGGCTGTCCAGCAGATTCATAGATCATACAGCATTAATGCAAGTCCAACCACTTTACTTTGTAAAGTGACTCAAAAACAGAAAGTGTTGGAGAAGTTCATACTCCAGTCACATTGGACCCAAAATGTTAACTCTGTTTTTCTGTCTCCACAAATGCTGCCAGACATGCTGAGTTTCTCCAGCAATTTCTGGTTTTGCCTTCAACCTCTGGCATCCACAGTACTTTGAAAATCTGAATGGAACTGGGTGTGCCAATGTAGTAGGAGGCCAGTCAGCCCATTGTAACTTTGCCATCCCTTTGAAAGAGCTCTGTCAATTATAAAAACTAGGAGCAGGAGGAGGGAATTCAGCCCCTCGAGCCTGCTCCACTGTTTAATACATTTCTAGCTGATCTTTTCTCAGCCTCAACATCACTTTCTTGACTGTTCCCCATAGCCCTTTGTTAATTGGTAATCTGCCTGTCTCCTCTTTGTGTTTGTAGTGTCCTGGCATCCACTACACTCTGGGGTCATGAATTCCACAGACAATTGAGACAGGGTTGCCATTAAGCTAACTTTATATACCAGATCTGTTTTTTCAATCGATTCAAATTTAACCATCTGCCATTGCAGGATTTGAAACCATAAAATTAGCTTGGGTTTCGGGATAATGAGCCCAGTGATATTGTCATCGTGCTTCCCACGTGGGACACACATTCAAATTTCGCCACCTGTAATGGCACGATTTGAACCCAGGTCCTCGGAACATTACCTGGGTCTCTAGATAAATAATCTCACCAGAATGCTGCGAGGGCCATTGCTCCTTCCAATTAGTCATACCTGCATCATCCTGAACATTTTTTTCCCCACATTACGCTCCATTTTCCAGACCTTTTCCCACTCACTGAACATATCAAAAGCTTTTTGTTGCCTCCAGATTATAAACAAGTAACCCAACCCCGTCAATTCCTTCACCGGTTACCTCCTGTTCTGGCAGTGAAAACAACTTCTCTTTGCCTACTCTTTCAAAACTCCTTAAAACGTGCGTCCGTTTTGCAACTTTCTCTGCCCTACGGAGAACCGGCTTTTTCAGTCCCACAACAAAAACGAAAGTCCTGTGTCCCTGGTGATATTCTCCCTCTGTGCCCTGTTCAAAGACTTAACATTCTTCTGCAAGTCTTTTTTTAACCAAAGACCATAGCTTCCAGAGCAGGCCTGGAAGAAACCACCACGCACAGAGTGCTGTGAAACTCAGCAACACTGTCATACGTGTGGCTCATGATGGCAGGGATCTTAGAATCATCCAATCGTAGAATCCCTACAGAGTGGAAGCAGACCATTTGGCCTATCAAGTCCACACCGACCCATCAAAAAGCATCCCATCCAGACCCACCCTCCTATCCTATCCCTGTATCCCTGCATTTCCCATGGCTAAGCCACCTAACCTGCCCATCCTCGGACACTATGGGCAATTTAGCATGGCCAATCCACCCTAACCTGCACATCTTTGGACTGTGGGAGAAAACCAGAGCACCCAGAGGAAATGCACATAGACAAGGGGACAACGTGCAAACTCCACACAGACAGTCGCCCGAGGTTGGAATTGTACCCAAGTCTCCTGGGCTGTGATCTTTTAACAGGAGATTTCTCAACAGAAGACCTCTCCAGTATTGGTTGAAGCGTATGTGCTTGTCATAACACAGTTTAAATTCAGTTCATACACACCAGTAATGATTTGAAGGCTTTCTTGTCTGTCACACGGAACAAACCATCTGCTGTGGTCACCTTGATGTGCTTTACTTCTGAATTGAACCTGTCACAAAAACATTGTAAATTATTAACATTGTGGCTCGAAACCTTTACTGAGCTCTGAGACACCATGCTGCGCAGTTCCGTCCTGCGAACATTTGATCAATTGGATGTTGTTTTAACAACCGCACTAACACCAATGCACAAACTGGATAAAGAGCCCCATTGAAACAGCACAAAAGAACACACAAACTAGTTGCAAGAGTAGGCCGTTCAGATCCTCGAGACTACTCCACCACTCAGTAAGGTCACAGCTGATCTGTCTCATTGTCACCATCTTCATCTTCAGCGGGAGACTCCTTATTTTTAAGCTGCATCTTCACTCGTTCTGGTCTCTGGCATATGGGAGAGTTCCAGCCTCTCAGCATCCACTAATTACCTATTCAAGCCAGGAATGTCTCAGTTTGTAACCATGCCCCGTGTCTGATGAACCGAACAATCAGCTTCAATATGGAGTCGGGTCACAGATCTGCCATCACCTTAATGAATGATAGAACAGGTCTGAGGAGCTGAGTGGCCTCCCATCTTTCCCTTCACAGTTATAATAAACCAAGCTTTGCTGGTTAGATAGATACATAAAAAATTGGTGGGAATCTGGAACTCACTGCCTGTAATGCTGGGAGAGGCAGTAAAAATATTTAGATGTGCACTTGCGATGCCAACAAGGCTATAGTACTTGACAATGCGATTAGAATTGTTAAGGGCTTTTTCTCAACTGGTGCAGATTCAGTGGGTTGAAGGTCCTCTCCCTGCGCTGTAGGTCTCTATGAGTCTATCCCTGTCAATGATACATTAGTCCCAAAGATTAATCCCTCCAAACCTCAGCAGTAAATCTCATCTCTCTCGGATTTCAGTGTGTAAACAGACTGTAGTCATAACTTTTATCAGACACTGGGAAGCCTTATCATGTGCATTGAGCTGGTGTAACTTGTCTCCTTCTCTCGCACACACACACGCAGGAGCAACGAATCTTTACAGGTTGCACAGAACGCAATTGAAATGGAGATGGTGTTTGTTCTGTGCTGTTAAATTCCCCTCCTTACTTGATACTGATGGCGTATTCCCCGGCATCCTTCACTCTCTGCCTTACTAAGTAGGTACCATCTGAGCGAGTGTTAAGAAGAGTTTCTGCCTGGCTCCGCTCCATTGGCCCAGCATACCTGAAAGAGACAAGACTCAGGGTCACGTTGGGTAAAAGCTTTATTCCTCTTCCTCAGGGCGTGCACTCAAACTTAGTTGCAAAAGCCCCACTTTGTTTTTGTTTTGAACAACAACATGATAATTTACCCTGCATCAGATTTACAATTTACTCTGCACAGGCCTGACACAAACAATATCTGAAAGTGTTCTCACTGTGAGAAAGATATATTTATGGTGAAAATATTTAGAATGAGATGACAGTGCTTACCAGGAAAAGGATGAATAGTCTATTTGAGGTGCCTGCAAGAGACAAGTACAGAAGACGATGTTAAAAAATGTTGCCAATTTTAATTGTTTAATAATATCTGTGCCAGCAGCTTTCCTATCCTGTGTGGAGCGGATTTGCAGCAACTATAGGCAAGCCCCTTGTTTATCGTTCTGACACAATCCCACTTTCTCTGCATATATTGTCATAAAGCCCAGGATGGGGAGAAGCATTGGGTGGAGGAAATGGAGTGATGGAGCGAGTGTTGGGCATGGATGCGTTTGAGGAGATGGAGTGAGTGTTGGGAACGGATGGGGTTGAGGAGATGGAGTGAGTGTTGGGAATGGATGGGGTTGAGGTAATGGAGTGAGTGTTGGGAATGGATGGGGTTGAGG